AGCAGCAGCAGCAGCAGCAGCAGCAGCAGCAGCAGCAGCAGCAGCAGCGGCTCAGTTTGTTTGTGCACGCGACTGTGCGAATGTGGCCCAGACGCGCGTTTGCTTTTCAGCTGCCATTCGTCAGTCGGCTGCAGCACCGCCACCTGGCGGCGCGTAGCGGTGCCGCAGTGCCGCTGCCTGTGCGCTGCATGCCTTAAGGCGCGCGCTTATATTTGATAGCACACACACACACGCACACACACAGCTCGATTGCATAAAATTTGAAAAAGAAAAAATAAACCATGCCACAATTTGCGCAAAAGCAAAATGGAATCGTTTGCATTTTTGCATATCGAACGACACAGTATTTGTCATACAAATCGAGCCGAAATAAGAGAGGAGCAAAAATTGTATATATGCATGTATGTATGTATGTGTGTATAAATAAAATATTTCAATTACATAAGAAAATTTGTATTTGTGTTTGTGCTGGACTTTTGGCTGCAGGGCTGGGGGGCGGAAAACTGACTGGCCCGAGGGGGGAGGGGGGGTTGGAGCTGCCATGTTTATAAGCCAAATGGCAATAGTTGCCAGAAGGAAATTGTTGTTTATTTAACTATTAAGCTAAAATGCACACTGAAAGCTGGACGATAAAACGACGCAGTTAAACGCTACGGCATGCATGTGTGTGTGTGTGTGTGTGTGTGTGCATAAAATATAAATGAAACACCGCCTAATTCTATGCAATACAAAGTCTCAATGTGCTGTGCAGTATTTTAGTTTTCAATGGCTGAGCTTTTATGCAAAGTAAACACACACGCACATAATTCAACTGACTGTGTGTGTGTGTGTATGTGTGTGTATTTGTATTTGTATTTGCCAGCTGAAGCATTAGCTATTGTCTGCCTGTCAAATCTGCCCATTGCGAGGGGGCGGTGGGGGCGAGGAGCGTGCGTGGCTTGTTGGCAGCCTTGTTGCTGTTTTTGGGGTTACGTTGCACAGCTGAAGGGAAGCTTCGCAATCTGCTCAATGAATCTCAATAAGTTTGTCAGAGTATGTGTGTGTGTGTGTGTGTGTGTGTGTGTGTGTGTGTGTGTGTGAGAGAGTGTGTGTGAGTGATGCTTAAGCTTGTTTGCATTTGTGTGCGTGTGCTAAATCAAGCGGTAATTGGGTCTTCCCTCTCTCTCTCTCTCTCTCTCTCTCTCTCTCTATCTCTCTATCTCTCTGCCTACACCTCTGCCGCTGCCGTTGTTTATATAATTGAAACTAACACAAATAAAGTGCAAAAGCTTTCTGATTATGGGGCTTTGTGCCAACCACAAAATGAGCGTGGCTAAAAGCCCAGTCAAATGCTGTCCCGTTACAATTGCCGCTGCCACAGATTCACCAGCCAGCCACTTACATTGCTACAGTGAATTGTGTTGGCGCTGCTGTTGCTTGGGCAGCGACAACATGTACTCCAAATCGCTTTCCTTACTATCGAACAGCACAGTGATTCAAAAGTGTTGAGAATGAATCGAATATGACTTAATTTATTAAATATATTTATATTATTTTCAGGCTATTTATTTATTATTGTTCATAATAATTTGGCAGGCGAACAAATTCGTTAAAATAATAATAATGCAATTTAAAACTGATCAAATTAAAATTAATTTTAATTTATATATATTCATAACGTTAATTAATTTTGTTTAAAATATATTTACTATTGTAAAGTAATTTAGTATTCATATATTATCATAATCATCTAGAAGAATAACAAATTCGTATAAAAAAATATAATATAATAATAATAATAATAGTAAAATAAATTAAAGGTAAATTTAATTATAATTCATTGTAATTATAGTTAATTAAGCAAAGTTGGTTATTAAATTTTGGCAAAACTAATAAAAATATAATACATTTGTGAATAAGGTAAATTTTAGAATATTATTTTGCATATTTTGTATCATAAAAAATTAAATAAAATAAGCCAATCATTAAAAAATTATACAAAAAATAAATGAAATAAACCAATTGCTTGGTTTATTTTATTAACTTATTTTTATTTATTTATTTATTTTATTTTATTTATTTTTTATTTTTTTATTTATTTTTTGTTATAAGATTTTTTACCGTTTAATTTTGGGTATAATTTCAACAACAATTTTTTATATGGTAGCTATGAAATATAAAATATAAAAGTTAATGTGAGATTTTATTTGATTTATATTTTATATTATATAAATGATGGATTTTATTTTATTATATTAATTTTTATTCGATTATATTTTTCTTTTTTACTTATTTTATTTTATTTGCTTTATCTCAAGTCTCTGAGAAAGATTTTTTGTTGGTCAAAATATAGTCTCTTGATATTAATTGCAAATGAATTCTAGTAAATTAACACAACACTCCACTTTAAACTCTAAAGAATGCATTCATTTGAATTTGCAGCGCTTCGAGCCCACTGTGCGGCGCATAAAATTCAAGGTGCCTCCGCACAAATGTGTGTGAGTGCTTGATTAGTGCTTGA